TCTTTTGTGCGAGGAGAAGAAGTCTCGCACTGCATCCATACTTTGCACTCACTCACCTTCTTCTTTCAAAGGAAAGGTAAGGAACACGGAGGGGAAGACGAAATTTCTCTTTACAAATGTTTCTTTTGATGGACCCCTTTGACATTTAACCTTCAAATGGGTAGCGTTTTTGGGTAGTCCCCAATTCCCAAAAGTGTCAGCTGCTGCTTCTTTTTCTTCTTCTTCACCACCGCACCCCGGACACAAAATGCATGGCATTACTTACTGGTGAATTACACACCCTATTGTTGAGCCCATAAGTGAATTGCCTCATCTCGACAAGGTGCAAACCTACAAACGGATTTGGATTTAACTTTGGTTTGTCACCTGGAAATTTTCGGATTGGACTGGTTTCATTTGGATTTATTTGGTGGCGTGGTAAATAAACGTTTGCTTGTATTGTTGACCTGTTGCCAACATCAGTCACGAGGGACATTCTTTTACGCGTTCATGTCTTCCACACCCAGGTAAAGTAAGTAAACACTAATAATAGATCAAGGAATCGACTAAATCGAAATGGGGTGATTCAACGACGACTCTTATAAAATAGCAAAAAATTAGGTCGAATCGAGTCAGTTCTTCCCAAAAAGAAGTGAGAATTGCATCCTTTCCACAGAATAAGTAACCGTTTTTCCAGCCAGTCTCACCAGGAAGAGATTAAATGCTGTTTGATGGAAAGAAATGCACATTCGAAATTGTATTGGGAAAGGTTTGAATGGATTTGGCCGCACTATGCAACGCTCCACCGAATATATAGAACTTTTTGGATCCTTTTATTTCTGAGTGGACAGAAAATATGGAAGAAAAAAAAACACAAGTTGGAAGCTGCTTTGCTTTCTTTATCGAACCAGACGGAAGAAACTAGATCTGAAAATTTAGGATTCTTTCGACCAAAAAACAGCCGTCAAATGGGTTCACGTAATAACACAAAGTTCAATAATAATCCAAAGTGACGCATTGCCTTTCGCGTAGAATTAATAAAACCGAGATCAACTAAAAGTAGGAAAAAACTCGACTGTAAATGAATGTTCCAATTAATATTTCAGTTAATAAGTCATCCAGATATATTAGCTCGTTCAAGTCTATAGTCTCGTTTGGCAGGGTGAGTGAGCAGTTACATGGAAATTTGGGCCGCGTATCAGTATAAAAGTAGAGACAGATTCGGTGTTGGCAGAATATTAAGACAAGATTTGTTCAGATTTGGCCAAACTTTGAGATTCGCCCTTTACTGGGTGAGTGGGCGAGAATGGAGCTTGAAGGATGAAGCAAGGATCAAAATTTGATGCTCAAGTTTTTCATGTAAAACTTCCTTCAAGTTCCTTTCGCCCTCGCGCATCGGAATGAAGAAGCAGCATTATTGGATCATCATAAGCACTAACCTTGCACTCAGAATTTACATTTGAGAGAAAAATGATATTTCATGGTGGTCCTTGCTATCTCCTTATCCCATTTTTTTTTAGTTCAGTTCCTATATCGATCGTTTATTCCTTGACCAAGTATGTTGTTGGTTATTTAAGAAAAGCTCCTTCCAACAATAGGTCATGAATCATTCAGAATTTTTTTTAGAAAAATCGTCATATGTCACATTATGCCTAAATCTTCCTCATTGTTATTATAAATACTGACGATGTAGATTTTCTTCCCCACGGACCCGCCGACCTTCAATGCTCACACCGTGGAAGAGACTTTCCCAAATCTGATTTATATTCAGTCGATTGTAATTTAATTCATTACAATATTTTTACATGGGTTAAGCGATTTTCCACCCGATGTGTACTTACTTAGGCTATGACGAGAAATAAATATCTCTTTTTACTTATAAGGACGGGTACAGAGTGCGCTTATAAAAACGTCCGTATCATAATTGTCCTCCTATCTCGGGAGGTGTCTTCATGAAAGGAAAATTCTAGTTCTAATCCTAAGCCGGGATACAAGGGAAGGATTCATTGGGTGAGAGTGGGGTGACCATTTTTTAATTTGCAATAAATTTGGGGTTTCAATCGTATTAACAAAAGTTATAATTTTCCTTATTGTTCACAAAAATACGTTAAGTTGTGCATAAATATTTAATATTGGCGTTACTCACACAGCAGCAATTCACACTATTGGAATTTATTTTCGTCTAGGAAAGAAGGAAAAATGTGTGTATACCCATAAGTGATTTTTCATGTCGGAAATATAGCTATTTATGCATTCTAAATAATCTCATATTCAACTCTATAATTATCGTGGTACAGATTGGATTGGGCCAATTGGGGCAGAGGTCAAATGTCAAATCTCTTTAAGCACGAGATATTGAGGAAGGGCTCACTTTTTATTTTTTATCTCGCTGATTATATCTGTGATGGTTGGAATGTGTATTTCAAAATTCGAACGTCTGGCCTTCTACATATTCAGCCTACGTATGTTTTTACCTTTCTTTAAATAGCTCGGAGAACTGCTTCCAGAGATGAAATTAAATCGGAATCGAGTCATGCGAGATGTTGTGTTGAAACAGGTGAATCAAGAATTTTACTATTTTTATCGTAACCTTGATGAAATATGTACGGCAATGTAGAATAGGTTGTGTTACGACCATCCTTATAATTTCGTTAGGATCCTCACCGTTTTTTTTTACAAAGTTGATCTTCCGCCTTCACTGTAAATTTAAATATGATAACCATACACGTTTTTAAATCCTGTAACATTTTGCCCACAGCATTTTTCATTACATCGAGTCAAATCATAACACAATTTCATAACCTGCACCAACTTTTACTACCAAATATTTCACCCATCGTTCCTTATCCAATTTAAATCTGTTTTCATCGCATGTTAGTAAGATTTGTTAATTTCGTGTCAACAGCAGCAGCATCCTTATTAAATTCCTTTGGAAGAAAAGCACTAGATTTTCCACCCTCAAAATATGAGTCAAATATCGCTTTGAGAGAAGCCATAATTCAATTTCATGCCCTAATCATTCGAGGTCCCATAACCTGCCTAATCTTGCAGAACATGACGATTTTTAGCACGTTGAAAATGGTAAGCAACTTATCCAAACGTATTTATTAATGAGCTAATTCTCAGGTGATGAATACAAGTTCCTTTGTGCTCGAAACCTGCTAAATGTTAAATTAGCTGATAAATTTTGCATTCATTCAAACCTTAATTAACATGTATTCTGTTCATTACGTTTTGGAATAATTTCACAATGGGACAGGTCGCTAATTAAATTTACGGTTACTGCACTAACTGCTAAAATTACTACTTATGTGAGAAGGCACGAGCTCTGACTTGCAGCCCTTCCTTGTTCACTGCATAATAAACCATTTCGCCTTATCGACTGTCCAAACTGAATAAGATCTCGAAATTTAGTCTCAAACCTAATCAATTCTTTACACAGCGAGTTTGCTTACGCGTGGGAAGCATTATTTAGAACAACCTGCTTTGTAGTGGCTGCCTGAACTTGAGATGAAATTGTCATTTAGCAAGGCACGTGTAATAATGCAGTAACCAACGCAAACTAGATGCACCTTGCTTAGGAGGCTAGACTGTGCGATGTGAGAGACAGGTAGGAATAATTTAATTCGTTATGTATCTCAAAATTTGGTAATTTCATAACTCCATTATTATTATATTTCCATTATACAATATTATCTTTAGTGGAAAACTATGGATAGGTTAGGCATCCGCCTGTTCAATGTGCAAATTAGAATATGTACACAGTCGTGGTAGGCGAAAATGTATGCACCTATTTGAACAAAAAGCAGACAGTCAAGGATATTGAGCCGGACGGCTGGTGTTTTTAACGACAGATGCTCAGATTACTGCCCAACTTATGAGGATAATCAAAAGTTGATCAGTACGTATAACAGTACACGATAATCATACGATTATGTATCCCATGTGGGTGCATGCATGATAAGTTAATTGTTGTGGCATGTTTCGATTTTTGGAATTCAATTTTTCTAACTTTTTAGGTATGAAAAAAGCTGGACATTGATACGATTACCAGTGTCTTTCTGCAGCTGAGGAGGAGAGGTAGATAGATACCTAAATGTTTTCCTACAATAAACGATTACTGCATCAGCAGACGGAGGCGGTGGAGGAGACAGGAGATTATTGTATTTCACGTATTACATACGAGCTGTCCTAATAATTCCAAGGGTATAAAATTGCACCCGTCGTCCCGTCATAACACAACGGACAACATATTGCAGATAATCCCGTACTAATTACGTGCCATCGTCTCGAGCCAAATTGAAGATGACCCACTTACATCACACACATATCTATTTCTCATGCAACACAGAGCCAGACATGCTTTTTGAGACATGGACCTCGAGACGAACGAGACAAGGCTGGGCTGCTGCTGCTGCTGGACTTCTTGTGTACAAAACTCGTATTAAACTCTTTCTCTTTTTCTTTTGATGATGTTTTGCCTTGTGACATGGCACAAGTTGGCTTTAAAGAAAAGAAGAAGCAGTGAGAGAGAGGAGGAAAAAACTTCCTAGTTGATCTGAGAGCAGAGGAGGAAAAGCAGGTGACTCGTCGTCTTGCCACCAGCAGATGTGTACTTGAACCGAAAGTGAAATGGGTAAAAATGAAGACAGGTGTGGACCGATGGCACGGATGATTAGCCACTTATTATCATACCCCGGACAAATATTTTTTTATCCTACCCTACTCATGTTGAGCTCAACACGAGTAGGGTAGGATAAAAAAATATTTGTCCGGGGTATGCTTATTATACACGAGACAATTACACCACACACAAACGGCAGGGCTCTGCCTTTGACACGGTCTCCTGTTTCTTCACAAGTCAAGTGGAAGTGACTCATCTCATCCCGTCTCGCTCGTACTTGTTGATCGGGTTACATGAAGCACGTGAGTTGCTCTTTCTATCACCAATATCTGATCCGAAAGGGTTGCATCATCTCATGGATACCAAAGAAAGATGACTCAAATGCAATGTAAAGACAATAATCGGTCATACTTTACATGACTACTACAACATTAGAATTAAATGGGTGTCACTGATCCTACGTACGTACGTAGCGTCTCAGTTCCACAGACGACTGCCATGCTGGTTTGTATTTATCTGTGCATATGTTCTGTTCTTGATTTACAACAGGAAATGAAGTACATTTCTTTATCACTATCTTCCTTCAGTCGTACCGAAATAGGCCTGTTTTCGAATCTATTTAGCGTCACGGTCAATTAAAGAGTGTTTTTAATCTCAACCCATTGTCCGTGGGTTATAATGTTCATTAAGCAATTTTAAACCACAGTACATAAATATATGTGTAAAATATCCAAAAGTGTGTATGTATTGCCAGAAGTTTGTCCACATATATGGGAAATCATGTATCACCTGACACTATTGCATTGCAAGTACTTGTCTGAATTTCTATTATTTGTCAAGTGTTTTTAAGGTGGATGAGATGATGAGATGTGCTTTATTTGTTCCACAGTTGTGAAATTAATATAATTTCGTAATGGTGGTCAACCCGCTTTCCACCTGGCCTGCATTATCCAAACCCTGCAGGGAGCATCTCCTACACTATTCAGGATGAATTGGAACAATATGGCTGTCAAAGGGTGAACCAAAAGTAATCCGTACACAAACCACCCTTTCTGGAGATCCATCTCAAAATTAGAAACCCTAAAGTTTCAGGGTACTTATTATTACCAAACTACTGTTCTATTCGAGTATATACAAAAATAAAAATCTATTTATCCCAGAAATTCTAAATAGTTTTCTATTTCTAATCAAACCGTTTCGTCACGCATCATCCCCAACTCTAGTTGACTCGGAGGTAAGAAATCTTTGATTTTTAGATAATGTTCGAGACCTCGTATAAAAATATATCTCGTAAAAAGTAACAGGATCATTAGTCTGAGATATACAGCTCAAAATGTAGCCTTGCATGTTTCACGTTGAGCATTCCGTTCTCCATATGTCGCGTCTTTCCCCCCGTTCCTTTTCCTTCTATTCAGATTTAAATGAAAAATTACGACGCTTCAAAATAAAAATACATGATCTGGCGTGTCTAGTGAGCAGGCAAGGTGGTTCTGGACCAACCACATTAGAGAAAGATGAGATTTTAAATGTATGCATGCAAGTGTAGAGGAAATTTTAATTACTTTAGCAATAACTTATTGAAATCAACTTGACTCAGCTTAGATTACTTGTCCTATTTTCTTTGACGCATTCATTATTCCTGAATATAGCAATTTGGAAACATTTATCAAATTGGAGCTCAACTGTTACGAAGTAAATCTAGTGAAAAACACGACGCGGATTGTACAGCGCCCAACGCTACGACGACGACTCGAGCGCTTTTAATGGTTCACTAGTTGAAACTGTACGAACGCATGTGTAATAATAATTTACTTTGATGTGCATCGGATCCAAGGGGTCAGTCCTGCTAAAGTAGTGCACATCTCTCTCCAGGAGGAGAACAGATGGCCCGTGCCAGGCCACGCACCAACCAACCAACCAACCTGTCTAATAAACCAAGTCTTAAATATACATATACGGAGGGCCTTAGCCTGCAACCTCATCTTTCTGCCATTGTGCTCGAGATGTGTAATGGGTCGTCGTCGGTTGTGGCTTTGCGTCAAAATCTTGCTTTGTAGCAGGAGACAGGGAACAAGAAAGGGGATGAGATCAATTGCATGTGTTTCCGTACATAGCGTACTGCTTCGACTTCCAAAAGGGAGTTTACCACCCGAAATCAAAGAAAACTTGACAAAAAGTGTAAAACGGCTAAACAATGGGGAACGAGAACAAAAAATCAGGAGCAAGCCAAAACTGGAGAAGTTTATTATAAGTAAATTCGGTCACTCTCTTCTGCTCTATCTCGTTAGCTGCTGCTATGCAATGCGATTAGAATTAAGAGGAGGGTTCAACTTTTTGTTGATTTCTCTCCTCATCATCATCATCCAGAGACTCGAGCCCTGCTTGCGCTCCATTTATTTCCAAGGAAAGGTTTAAAGATCGAATCTTGCTGTACAAAAACATCTGCTGTTTTGAGGGACTTGTTGCCACAGATAAAATAAGTAAGTAACGGAAGATCCTTCAGCAGGCCATTAAGCCTTGGTGCATCTTTGGCTGCAGGATTTATTTATTTTTTGCTACCACATTCATTGTTGCAGCTCGTGTAAAATGGATGCTGGTTGAGGTACTGCTGCTGGTCCCCATGAAGTGTGGACACAATTAAAATACGGAGCAATATTTCAGGTGCATATCCTGCAAAGCAACTCTTTCTTGCAAAGTTGGGTGGTTAGTTAGGAAACATTCCTGACCTCATCTTTGTGCTGAATGCCTAATGACAAAAGGTTAATGGAATATTAATTAGGTGGGAACTTTACGGTCGTAAAGAAAACTCGTAAATTTGTACAAAATGTGTGGTTTGCCGTTTGCTACGGACGGAGTCTCTGAGAAAACCAAAATCTTGGATAATGTGGAACTTGCTCCTCTCAAAATCAAGTAAACATCTGCACAGATGCACATCTCTCTCTGGTTGAGGGGAAAATACAAGAAGAGAAAATATTTAGGGGGTCGGAAACAGTGAAATTGTGTATGTGTGTACTGCCATACTGCCATAATTTCAATTCTCTACCATCTCCCCTCACATTCTCGAAACCCTGACTTTTCATGGCAGCGAAAATTTTATGACATAATAGAAAAATAAAGATCACAACCACCCAAGAAAAAGGGACAAGATGGTGAAGGGTACATTTCGTGTGTCGCGTGCAGACGGGGAAACCAGTTTCTTGTAGCTCTAAAGTAGGTTAAGTTAAACTACTTATTTTGTGGATTCTTCTTCTCCCTGGTCAACAAATCTAAAGGATCAAGTAGACGCTGGTTGTTGTTGTGGTGGTGGTACTGCTGGGCCCTTCTTCTCCAGTGTGCCAACTGCCAGGTGTGCATAGAACGTGCATCACTCGTCGTCGACGCTACATACTTATGAAATGCAACCCCATTGCCCTGTTCTTTTCGTTCCTGCTCCAAAATTATTATATTGTGCTGTCCCGAGGGCGAAAGATGCACAAGAAAACTACCCAATAGACATTCTCAAAAAGCAAAAAAAAATATATTCTTTTATTCTGTTAAGGAAGAGAAGAAGGGTCTCCAAGATTCAACTTGTTTGATTTTGTCCATTGTCCTCAAATGAGATCAAATTCATTGTAAAACATGATCACAGACCAGCTGAAAGTTCAACAAACAAAACAATCACCTTGTCCCAAGTTCTTTTCATTCGAGAGAAAGGACATGGACCAAAGTGTATAAAAATGAAGGTGAGTCGGTCCAACTGGTGAGTGGAATAAATAGGAAAGCGGTTTCAAGGTCTTCAGCCTTACTGTAAAAGTGAGGATGCAATTAACTCGAGTGAACCCTTTCCCAGTAGTATGAAAACGACCCTCTTTACAATCCAGGACTTTTTGAGTGCGAGTGAGAAAAATGGAGAAACAGTACGTGATCGAGCAAAAAATATGAACTACCTTGACCGAAACTTTGTACGTGCGTACGTAGAAAAAGGAGGGCGAGGATGATGATTGACTTAATTCAACATGTGCCAAATTAATACTACATTTTTTTTGAAAGATTGTTTATTACAGACATCTTCACAGTTTTCTATATTTCTTTTCTGTCTAAATTCGTACGAATATGCAAACTGAAAGTGGCATTTTGTTTAATAATCTTCTTTTGCTGGACGACCCAAAAACATGGATGGCTGCTAAATACAATTAGTTATTTACAAAGTATAAACACATCTCACTTCCTGAAAGTTTGAATCATTGTCCTGCAAGTCTATATACGCACGTGCAGCAGAGTTGTTAGCTCTCTAAAAACTTGTGTATGTATGGATATGAAGACATGTATTTCTCCCCCCACATCTGGCTGCTACTACTTTTACTCTTAGCACTTGTGGCAGCTCATGTGTACACTTTGGTCACAAAATCTTGGATTTTTTTTGCTACCAAGAGCACAACATGTTTCTGAAAACTACGAATTTTAAAATGGATCAAATTACTTTGTCAGCAATTCCAATGGGACCAAAAGCTTAACTACCACTTTAAAATAACACATGAAAGAATATTATGTTTATTCACTTGCACATACTTTAACCCTTAACTCTTTCATTATTGGATTGTTTTGAAAATATGTACTTTCAAGTTATGAATGAAAATTCAATTTAGGATGAATTCTAAGCAGATAAGCTTAAATTTAACGCTATAAACATGTGGTTTACATGAACCATTCATGAACCAGTTTCCACACTGAAAAAGTCTAAACAACAAAAACATCCATCCAAATCGTCGTTCATGGGGATCGAGTGGGAAATCTGTACGTGGTCTGGGATTTGGATTTCGATATCACGTTTCGCGTAGGTATCAATTCACCGAAAACACGTTACTTTGTTTGCGGGCATATTGTTAAATTAAGTGACCAACAGCCCACTCAGCCATTAATCATGGAATACACACAGGTTGGTCGATTGGCGTTTCATCTTTTTTTGCGGTGGTCCAATACACAGTCAGTTTTCCCAATGGTGAGCCAGGGGATGAGTTGTTGGTTGTGAGGTCAAATTTCAAAGGGGTTGAACAACCACCAAACGCTGCAATACCAACACTCGCTGACTAAATATCACCACGACTGGGTTACAATTACACAAAGAAAACTAATTAATTTAACGCTGGCTTTGGCATCGTTGTTATTCATTCATGCAAACAAAAAACAAAACGTGTAGTACGTCATCTCTAGAATTCAGCATAATCCAGATTTTAAAGGCGGAACGGAACAGTTTCGATATTTCCAATTACATAACGCACGAACGTTACTAGACGAAGGACTTTTGAACTGGTGAGTTAGTGGTGGCTGGCTGGCTGGCTGACTGGCTGGGTGGATGATGGAGGGTGGAATGGAAGAAAGGAAGGCCAAGAATTACGAGCAAATGTGTGTGTGTGTTGATGATCAGAGTGGAACCGGACTCGGTGGGCTGGAAGAGATCAGATGTCCGATGTCAGTTCCGGTTGTCATCCTCCAAGACGAGACATACTCTCTCACTCTCCCAATGCAGGCCGTCCAGACGCAAACTTTTCGGCTTAGCTTCCAGAACTGATGGAGGCGTTGCAATGTGGACGATGTGGACACACAGCCCATGACGATGAATATTTACAGAAAATAGAAACGGGAAGTCTACTATCGAGATATTTCCCTAGTTGCGACGTGTGTATGATACCCTCCAATTTATTGAGTGTTGTTACAAATCAATCACTGCTTTTTGCTTAAAATTTCACAAAACGCAAAATTCATGTGTATGTATGTTCCTTGCGGATAAAGTGAATTGCTTTACCCACACTGCTTTCTTTTTCAGCCTGACCGTGCCGTTGGTTGTGGTAGAAACTTGGCCCTGGAAGGGTTAAAAAATCCACTTCCGCTTCTAGTACCTAGTTCCATTCATCCATCAAGGCTTATGTCAGTCATCAATTTGCATGAGTAATTTTATCCTCGTCAAACTTCACAATGAAACCGACCGAACACAGGGGAGACTTTAACTTTGATTTATTCCCAGTATGGAAAACTGATACATCATCATGTTCAGGAAGGAGTGAAATTTCCAGTTCTACGAAAATGTGCCACACCGTATAAACAAGAAAATATCTGTAAGTACGCATTTAAGGTATCATCTTTTGCATGACAATAACAACATCGTGATACTTAATACGGGCCTAAATATCTCAAAGTAATCTGTTATCTCAGTAATCTTTTATCAGGACGAGGACGGAGCCTAAAACAAGAGCTTTGTTGAGAATGTTGACTTCCTTTGTTTTTGGAAGATTGACTGTAATTGATAGTAAATCGGGCCCTTGTTGTTTGTTAATTTGCAAATCTCCCAACTTTTCATTGCCTTCGGGATTAAGAATCTAAAGGAGAGAAAGTTGGTAAGAAAGTGATGCCATGGAAGAATAGCAAGTCATTAATTGTGCTGCTACGTATACATAATACGTACGTACGCAGACATGTATACCTTGGCAGAAGTTGTCCAACCAAATCCACCCAACCCACGATGAGTAAACACTTGGTATACCATTTCATTCTTCTCGTTCTTAATGAACGTTATCTTGCTCATGCCCTTCATCTCCATTACAGACCCGATCATATTCCCAGGAGGCAGGGTTATCTTGAGCACCTTGGATAAAGAGCAATTTATCATTAATTTGTCACTTTATGCACATTGAGATTATTTTTAACCCATCATACATAATCTCTAACCTTTAATCATAATCTCATTTATATACTTACCAAACCCTTAATTTCCATATCCGACTCTAAATACATACTGCATAGCGCAATGTCCGAATTACTTCCAAATATTTTAATGCCAAATTCTTCCATGAGATCGCCTTGCTGGATTTCCACATCGAAAACTTTTTCTTCTTGCTCATTCAGCAATTCAAATTCTGTCACCATAATTCCCGAATCGTGAAGAAATCCAAGGGCTGAATATTACAAAAATGGCATTGAAACAGCTTGAAATTATCTAGTTGTGCAATATGTAAAGTCAGTGCGTACTCACTTTTTCTCACGACCCGAGTCCTCACTAATGTGATTTTCTCCAACGGTCTTAAACTATCGATGAGACTATCAATCGTTTGAAGATGAGACGGCTGCCCCTGTTCTCCCGAGGACGTGGCACAAGACGAGTTGAATTGTCGAGATGATGTCGAACATGGAGAATTTTTCGAAACTTCGGTCTCAGTTTGTTCACTGGTGGTGGGAGAAGGCGAGTCGCCATAACTGGGTCCCAACAGTCCAGTGGGGAAGAAGGATTGTTGGTTAATGTACGCTGGGATGCCACATTTCCGAAAATGTTTTTGAAAAAAGGGTAAAACCTTAAACATTTTGAAAATTCAAAACTGTAGACGACTTGACGGGTAAATATTTTGAAAATCAAGAGCTTCTTAATTCATCATAAAAATAATCTGAATTAATATGCAAATGTGATATTGGAGAAAGTTCTGAAGTTGCCAGTTAATAAATTCTGATATTTAACTTATTGTCGCGCGTCGAAAGAATGCTATTGTTCTGTGCGCAGGAAGGTTTATGCAAATGGCAAAGTAATGTTGCACTCCTGTCGGAATATGTCATGCAGAGATTAATGCTGCATTGATTGGGCAGTATCGACAACATCTTGGGAAATCCTAAGGAGATGGAAGCCAATCAGAATATGAGAATATCCGAAATTGCATCAATTCCCTCTACCAATGCAAAAATTGACCAAGGAATTGGGAAATACTCCTCCAGTCATCGGTTTATTAAGGGGTGAAAGCCCTTTATAAGATCGTTATGTCCGTCTGTCTGTCCGTCCGTCCGTCCGTCCGTCCGTCCGTCCGTCCGTCCGTCCGTCCGTCCGTCCGTCCGTCTGTCTGTCCGTAGCTCCGATAACTTTTGAACGAAAAGACATAGACACTTGAAATTTTGAACGTAAACTCCTAACGTCAATAGAGAGGACGAGTTCGAAGATGGGCACTGTAGGTCACACCCATCAAGGTCAAAAGGTCATGAAATGTCATTTAAAGGTCAAATTGCATACATGCATCAATTTGAATTGAAATACGGATAACACACTTCTTTCACCCCTTGGTTACATTCGTTGTGACGGTTTATTTTCTCTAGTAATGGAAACATATTGTAGGGGAAAGTTTCCTCGAATGGAAAAATAATTTAGATATTCAAATAGAAAAAGAGATGAAGACACACATCATGCACAGTGCGTACCACATACAAACACACAACTCAGAATATGCACTGACTTTTATGAGACAATAATCCATCTCGGAGATTCTTTGACAGGCTTTTTTCCATTGGAGGATGGAAAAACCATTAAATTTGGACATGAAAGACAAATTTCTTGGGTCGAAAGTCATATGCTGCGGCTGCTGTCAGACACTTGAGTAGGGACCTTTCACTACTCGTTCAGACGTCGACGTGACCCGTCGTCGCTGCCTCATTTTTCTTGCCATGCCACACCCACACACAAAAACACACACAGAACCCATCTCCCAGCCAATTAACTAAAGATTAGCACAAAAAGCGTGCATGTACTGTGGATGAAGTTCTAACCCTGCAGACTTATTACACCGCTTTGTAGCATTAATTTCACGACGTCACCGGTCAAAAAAATTTTTTCCTCCAAACTGGTCCAAAATAAAAGTCTAGCATGGGAATAGTATAGAAAAATTATTTTTAGCGTTCTATGACCCCTGGGTCATGAATTAAGGGCCCCTGAAGGGTCAAATAGCGTTCCCTGATAACCCCATGCAAATGGGGTATCAAATTAATCCCCTGGACCAGGGGAACCAGAAAAATATTTTTATAAATTTTTATGACCCTTGAGTCGTGAACTAGGAGCCCTTGAAGGGTTAAATATCATTCCCTCACAACTAAAGGCAAGTGGGGTATCAAATTAATCCCCTGGACAAGGGGAACCCAAAAAATATTTTTCTGGATTTTTTTGACCCTCAGGTCAAGAGTTAAGGGCCCCCGAAGGGTCAAAATAGTAACCATGGTAACCCCATGCAAGTGGGGTATCAAATTAATCCCCTGGCAAAGGGCAAGCATAAAAATATTTTCCTGATTCCCCTGGTCCAGGGGATTAATTTGATACCCCATTCACCTTAGTTACCATGGTTACTATGTTGACCCTTCAGGGACCCTTAACTCTTGACCTATAGGTCAAAAAAATTCAGGAAAATATTTTTATGCTTGCCCTTTGCCAGGGGATTAATTTGATACCCCACTTGCATGGGGTTACCATGGTTACTATTTTGACCCTTCGGGGGCCCTTAACTCTTGACCTGAGGGTCAAAAAAATCCAGAAAAATATTTTTTGGGTTCCCCTTGTCCAGGGGATTAATTTGATACCCCACTTGCCTTTAGTTGTGAGGGAATGATATTTAACCCTTCAAGGGCTCCTAGTTCACGACTCAAGGGTCATAAAAATTTATAAAAATATTTTTCTGGTTCCCCTGGTCCAGGGGATTAATTTGATACCCCATTTGCATGGGGTTATCAGGGAACGCTATTTGACCCTTCAGGGGCCCTTAATTCATGACCCAGGGGTCATAGAACGCTAAAAATAATTTTTCTATACTATTCCCATGCTAGACTTTTATTTTGGACCAGTTTGGAGGAAAAAATTTTTTTGACCGGTGACGTCGTGAAATTAATGCTACAAAGCGGTGTAATAAGTCTGCAGGGTTAGAACTTCATCCACAGTAGTGTGCTCATATATTTACCATGTGTGTGTGGTATGTACTTCTGGGTTGCACACATTAGTGTTGACGTTGCCTGGTGTTTCATCATCATTTCGGTGAATATACCAAAATTGAATGACCAGAGCATGAAAGACACTTTGAGAGATTGGGTTGGGTGTGGGTATGCTAATCTCAGTGTATTTTCCGTTTTCATGAAAAATGTGATGTTGTTCCGGTTGACTTGGCGTTGTACAAGTCTTCTCACTCGGGCGGATGTTGAGCCAAGGTGTAGGTGGTGGTGGTGATGGTGGTAGCAGGGTTGGTGAGGAGGATGACGATGATTGAGAGGGATGAGAAGATGAGAGACCTTTAGCCTGCTTTAGTCTGGTTTCTAGATTTAGAAAATCTTTCTCTTTCCGCGAAGGAGAAGCCCGACGCAACAAAACCTCAATGAAATGAAGTGAAGACTTTTCTCCTTTGCCCATTTGTCCATACCTTAACGAAGAAAGACAGTCTGAGAACATCTTAGGGAATTGGAGATGACAGAGGTTGAAAAAACAGCAATAAACCAAGGCTCGAGAGTCAAAGAGGGACTATGTGTGCGACGGGCATGAGAGAAATACTACTGCCACTGGAGGCCCTTCAGTTTATGCCGTCGTGTCATGCGGTCGTCGTCTTATAAAAAAATTCTCCAGAGCTGACTGGATCAACACACACTCTTTTTCGTGAAAACTGTCGGTGGGAAAAGTTTTTTTTCCGTTTTTATCAATATTCTCACACGTCGTAGGAAGAGACGTGTGCTGTAGTAAAATCACAATCTGCAACTCCTTTCCCCTACCTGCAAATCGCACTTGGCATACGTAAACCAAACTTTCACCACCATTTTATGCATGCTAGTATGCAAAGTGGGAACATTTTAGTGGGAGTATTTTGACCATGTAATCTTTCCCGAGGAGAAGGCGTAGGCGTGCAACATGGTCCTCTAAGTTCTATTCTCGTCTCTTTTCTATACATCCAGGGCGATATGGCCGTTAAAAATTCAAAGCGTGACAACTTATGTATGAGGCGAGACAACGAAACACAGCATAGAACTCCTGGATAACGGGACATTTTACTCTCGTCACCGCTAAATATTTAAATCTTGATCTTGGTCACAGCCATGTACAAACTACCTGCTCTCACCTCTGCACTCAAAACTTACTGCATTCTGAGGCACACTTATCGTAATGAGTTGATGCAAAATTTAAGCTCTGTGTCTTCTCGAGGAATTGCATCCTCCCACCATTTTCCGGCACTGCTGGTGAAAGTAGGTCGTCCCAATTTCCTCGGCTGATATGCTTAATCTAAAAGAGACATTAAAATTGTTTGCCCATCTTATCTCAATTGTGCCAAGGGATGCTTAGTGCTTATTACGGGATGAGGTCTATATTACTCTCAATCATTGGTGGCATAATCCTCCTCCTTGCACATCATCATGCATCACCTCGTCATGTCAACCACCCCAAAATGTGGGTGGCATGAAGAAGGAGTCCGTTTCAGGAGAAGATGAGACACGCTCTTTCACTGTATGTATGAATTGCCAAGTGGACAATGGAGCCCCACCACCACCACGCACATATAATCCATTAGGACGACGTGGACGACAAGCTCGACAAAACAAGTCATTACGTTTGATCTGATACCCGATAAGGCAGCTCCTGGATTATATCACTTTCCCACTCACTCCATAAATTCGAGCGTGGTTATGGTGGTCCAATGCATGGTGCCAAATGGGACAGGATTATGTGGAGTATTAAGAGACACTAATTAAAAGAAATCTTTGCAGTCATCTTAATGGGTTGTGTTGTACTGGGTGGATGGGTGAATTTACTTGCTGCTGTCGTCTAATGCTCATTTTTATGAGGGTGCATTAGTATACCATCAGCCAGCCACTACTGGGAGCGATGATACACATTAATGTGCAGATGCAAGGCTTTCTCAAGTGTGCGTAGGCCCTGTGCAACCCACGATGATGATGTGCCTGTTGAAGATGCGATGTTCAAATTTGACGTGATCATATTACTTACCCTAGTGGACCAAGCGACCTAAAGGCGTGTGCCATATGTTGTCTAGAACCGTACGCACCACTCCCCTTGCCAAGTGACGAGGTTGCCCAGTCTTACTTACGCATGTCGGTAATTCCTTACCGTTATAATTAACAGAAGATAATGGCAAGTTGGGTGCCACTGATAAATAAA